GCTCGCTCACAGCTTTAATGCCCGTAGCTCACCAAGTGGAATTTTTGCTCACAAGACTCCACAGCTTAGAGGGAGCATTGCTTGAGGGCAAACTAATTTATGCAGTAGCCAAATCACTCGCTCACAACTTTAATGCCAGTGGCTCACCAAGTAGAATTTTTGCTCACGAGACTCCACAGCTTAGAGGGAGCATTGCATGCATCTGGAGATCAGCTCATATGTTGTATTATCTAGTTAAGAGCCAGGGGGAGACCCACGTTGGTCTGAAGCGACAGAACAAAGTTTGAGCCCAGTGGCCCCTTTTAAGACCAACAAAGTTTAATTCTGGGCATCTCTTTTGTATGCAGGGACAGAGAGTTAAACCTGACATTCTTCTATAAATATGCACTCCTCTGACAGGCGGATCAGACTTCTCTGGATAAAAGTCTCAGGACAATAGGAGCAATTTTTTGTGTGTGGGTACTTTGGGCTTTTTGATTATCCCTAAAAGCAGGGAGACAAACAGCTGAAATCTGATTTGCTTTTAAAACTGTTACTTGCTAAAAAGCCATGCTAGGGGCTTTAATCTTAGCATTGCTTTTCACAGTAATTGTAGGGTTAGGGTTAGGGTTTCATGATCGTATTCGGTTCCGTCCAGCTCACTAAAGAAACTAACTGATCTCAATAGAAGATAAACATTTCTGCAAGTTCTCACGTCTGGTTTGCCGGTTATATTTAAAGAGCCAAACTCAAACCCTTATTTTGTATTATCGGAATTTAGAGGTTGATAACCTCCTTGGGAGGAAAGCGATGGCGAACCTTGACAGCATAATAAAAAGTAGAGACATCACCCTGCCAACAAAAGTCCGTATGGTCAAAGCGATGGACTGCAAGAAGATCAGATCAGTCAATCCTAAAAGAAATCAACCCTGACTGTTCCCTGGAAGGCCAGATAATGAAACTGAAGCTCAAATACTTTGGCCACCAAATGAGAAGGGAGCACTCCCTGGAGAAGACCCTGATGCTGGGAAAGACTGAAGGTCAAAGAAGACGGGGACGGCAAAGGATGAGATGGTTAGACAGTGTCATAGATGCAACGAACATGAAGTTGAGCAAACTTCAGAGGACGGCGGAAGACAGGAGGGCCTGGCGTGATCTTGTCCATGGGGTCGCGAAGAGTCAGACTTGACTGTGCAACTGAACAACAACAACAAACTGTATGGCTGCGAGAGTTGGACTATAAGGAAGGCCAAGTGCCGAAGAATAGATTCTTTTGAATGATAGTGCTGGAGAAGACTTTTACTTCTTCACCCAAAGAGTGATTAATACATGGAATTCACTGCCACAGGAGGTGGTGGCGGCTACAAGCATGGACAGCTTCAAGAGGGAACTGGATAAACATATGGAGCAGAGGTCCATCAGTGGCTATTAGCCACAAGGTATAGATAGGAACTCACAGGCTGGGGCAGGTGATGCTCTGTATTCTTGGTGCTGGGGGGGGGGGCAACAGCGGGAGGGCTTCTAGTGTCCGGGCCTCACTGCTGGACCTCCTGATGGCACCTGGTATTTTTGGCTACTGTGTGACAGAGTGTTGGACTAGATGGGCCATTGGCCTGTTCCAACATTGGCTTCTCTTATGTTCTTATGACTCTTGAGAGTCTCCTGGACTGCAAGAAGATCAAATCAGTCAATCCTAAAAGAAATCAACCCTAACTGTTCCCTGGAAGGCCAGATACTGAAACTGAAGCTCAGATACTTTGGCCATCAAATGAGAAGGGAGCCCTCACCGGAGAAGACCCTGATGCTGGGAAAGACTGAAGGTCGAAGAAGAAAGGGACGGCAAAGGATGAGATGGTTAGACAGTGTTATCGAGGCAATGAACATGAAATTAAGCAAACTCCGGAGCACGATGGAAGACAGGAGGGCCTGGCGTGATGTGGTCCATGGGGTCAGGAAGAGTCGGACTCGACTGTGTGACTAACAACCACCACCGTCCTTTAATAAATCTAGGAGAACATTTTGTGGAGGCCGAGGCCTTGAGAGTGTCTGTTCTATGGATCTTTGCTTTTGTTTTTAATTGGATGTTCTTTTGATGTTTTTCATATTTATAAGAAACTTTAAAACACTAAAAAAAAAAGGGCCAGTTCAGGTTAAGCCACCATATGAACCGACTTGTACCATCTGCACAATTGAAGATTTTTCTACCATTACATCACCATAGCATGGCTCGGGAAACTACCTGTACTTAGCTGGGATGGATGATAGAGGCTGTCTTTTTGCTATCAAGTGCAGCCAAGTTTTGGTGACCCCCTCATGGGGTTTTCAAGGCAAGAGATGTTCAGAGGGGGTTTTCCATTGCCTGGTTCTGTGCAGCAACCCTGGACTGCCCTTAGTGGTCTCCCATCCAAGTATTAACCAGGGCCGATCCTGCTTGGCTTCCAAGATCTGAGAAATTCAGGCCAGCCTGAGCCATCCAGGTATTCTGGCCAGTATTCACTGTAAAAAAGCTTATACCTCTCAAACCTCTGCATTTATAATTCCTCTAAATCCCTGTTGTACTCTTGACTTTCACTCCCCAAGCAACTGTTTCGACTCCATTCCTGCACCCACTAGTATCCCCAAAGGGCCACAGAAATAACCGGCTAGTCCCACATTGCTCTCATCATGCATGATGCGCCACCTCCTTTCCAGAGGAAGGCCCACTGCAGATGGCTACCCAACCACTTTGTAAGGTGATGTTGAGACTGCAGGCTGCCAAACCATCAATGTTGGACCTGCTTGCAAACATGGCTTAGGAAGCATCCTGCCTTGATAGCTGAACTGTCCTGTAGGCCACGTTCATACAGATGTCCCCGATCACACTATTTTCCAGGGACAGCCCCAGTTTTCTGACTCGGGCCTCCTGCTTGGCGAGTGTAGCAGAACTCATGGAGAAAGTTTTCTGCCCTCTTCTCTCCTACTACAGCTTGCCCTTGGAGGCTGGACTCCTGGGAACAGCATGGGGGGCCTGCAGTGGAAGTGGGGCACTTGTAAACAGAAAACATAAGATGCAGGCCCGTCGTAGCTAACTGAGCGTCCCTTTTTGTTCCCTACAGATGGAGGGAACGCATTCAGGTTTCAGCCCCCTTTCCCCGAGTTTTTAGCAGTACTGGGGGGGGGGGATGTATCTTCACCGTAGTGCATATGCGCACCTATACCAATGCCCGGTTCTGCAATGGTGAGCCCATAAAGTTGGACTAGAGCTCCATGCACGGCCTGTCTTCCATTTTAATTTGAAATGTTCATTTTATGCTGTAAAAAAAGGGAAAGTGGAGCACATTTCTATGGTGAATGGACACAAGCCTGCAGGAAAGCTCCCTACTGGTAGAGTTGTATAGATAATCTAGGGCTTTAGCCATTAGAATGCGATTCACTACTTTGGTAGAGACTCACTCATCTGACAGTTGCAGACTGTAGAAGTTTTCAAAAGCTTTCCAGGGTACCAGTACAAATGAATAGCATTAGGAATAGCATTAGACTGTTGTACTGTATTTGTCTTACAATAATTGTTAACTGTCATAGATCTCTTGGAGAACCCAGTAAAGGATGTTCCGCTCCACCTCTCTAGAAGGCTATTGAAACTTGGGAAAGGATTTCTGAATGAAGCATGTTCTGACCTCAAGATGTATGGTTCAAGCTTCCAGCACCCACAAACATTCTAGAAAGCATCCGGCTATGATGAGCCAAGGTGCGTTTCAGGTACCCTTGCCGAAACCACAGCAGACTCTGATAGGAAATGCATTTGGTTTTATTGAATTGAAGCAAAGAGATCCGAGTTATCTTTGAGAGAAAATAGCTTCCAGAAAAACATCTTTTTGACATTCCGGCTTGCGGTACCAAAAAAAAAAAAAGCAAGCCTTCAATATACAGTATTTATATCATATACAAGGTACAATAAATTAATATCTACATGCAACATACCTATAGAAAGTTACATACACTGTAAAAATACAGCATTTCAGCTTATTTTGCTTTTCATTTTTTTATACAAGTTTTAATTTACATTTTTTACAGATTTTTGTAAACTTTTTCTTCCTTTATAAAAATCAGGGCACACACACCACACGTCATTACCATTCACATCTGCACTTCAGCTTACACAAATAGCTACAGAATTTGTGGCTACAGCCCTACTTTTCTGTCGCCCCCTTCATTTCTACCATGGCATCACTAATTAAGTCAGCATACCTACAGCAAGTACATTTTCTTCTTTTGCTCACTTTGCATATATTTCAAAATACTAAGTAATGCAACCACAAAGTCTGTGCTTTAAGGAAAAAATCGCAAGCAATTAAGTGTCATTACAACCACTTTTATCAACTTCACATTTTACCAACACTTCTGCATAAATCAACTGCTTTCCTTCTAACAGGATTCACTTAAGCATGCAAACGCGTTATGATATGGACTGGCTTATGACAATGGAAAAATACTGGAATAAGCTAAAGGAGTGAGTCGTTAAAGGGAATGCAGCATTCACACTGAATGCCAGTCTTTCTAATTTCATAGTAATGCTTTTTGAATGTTAACGCTAAGATTTTTCTAAGGAAAAGTGAAGATCTCAAAGCAGATCTTCACAAATTAACATACACTAGTGCAGGGGTGTCAGACATGTGGCCCAGGGGCCAAATCAGGCCCCCAGAGGGTTTCTATCAGGCCCGTAAGGGACTGGCTGTCTCCTGCTTCTTCCTCCAGTTCTGCCGTTTCTGCTGCGTCATAGCTAAAGCTTGCTTTCCCAGACTCTCTCAATCACTCAGGAGAGATAGATGGGCAAGCTTCTGCTCCCTGGACTGGGCTGAGGCTCCTCCCCCTCCCCTATTGCTACAGCACATTTTGATGCAATAATTCAAAGCAAGAAGTGTCAGTTACCAGAGACTGTTAAATAAACAAAATATTGCAAGAGTGCTAATGTTTCAGGCATGTTTTTATTTTAAGTAAAAAAAAATCTTTGTGTCCGTCATAAAGTTTATGACACACACAGCCTGGCCCAACAAAATCCAATTTATGTCAAATCCGGCCCTCCGTAACAAATGAGTTTTACACCCCTGCCCTAGCGCGTATTAACCAGCTGTTACCTGGCTTCGACACCTCCCTAAATAATCTGAGCATCTGCCCAATTAAATAAGCTTCCTGAAACTGAACAAATGTAAGAAAAACAACACTCCTTTCATAAAAAGAATGCACAACTAAAGTTTTGGCTAAGTACTTCAGTCTCGAATGAAATAAAGCACATACTTCTTTGCAGCTTAGCCAACCCTCCAAACATCTTGTTCAGATTTAACCTTGTATAACCCCAGGAGGTCTCCCATTCAGCAGGGCATTCCAGTGCATTTATAGCCATCTTGTAAAGCACTAAGAGGCAGCGTGCCTTTAATGCGTCTTGCTGAAGCCTCGGTTGGCCAAAGAGATCTACCTTGCTACATTTGACTTTACTGCCACACCAAAGGGGAAAGTACATTACACAGTTTGGAGACATAGTGAGAATTCCTGCCAAGGTTCAGAGTGTGCTTAGCTACTTATTGCCGAAAGTACTACCATAACGTTAACAGCTCCATGCAGCACAGCAAGTCAGAAGAGAGCCTGCCACTTGGCTTTGGGTTTGAGGTCGAAGAAGAAAGTGCTCTCCAGGTCCCGCGGAGAACTGCTGAGGCTTTCTTCTCCACAGCTCATGTCTTCACAGGAGTCCTCACTAGAACAGAGGAAGGTAATAAACCAAAGAACACATGAACAAACCACAGATCAGTCACACACGAACACACATGAAGCTGCCTTCTACGGAATCATCAGACCCCTGGTCCATCTAGGTCAGTATTGCCTGCTCAGACTGGCAGCGGCTCTCCAGGGTCTCAGGCAGAGAGGTCTTTCACGTCCCCTACTGCCTGGTCCTTTCAACTGGAGATGCCAGGGAATAACTTCATCGACAGATACAAAGAACACATAAAAAAGGATTTTTTTTTTTAAAAAAGGTATTCAGAGACTGATGAAAGGGTTCAATACAAGATACCCAGGATATGATAAAATCCTCTGTTCCCAAGACTGTCTGACATGTACATTACAGCAACAGTGCAAAGATGAAAACCTCACATCTGTGAGGTTTTCATCTTTGCACTGTTGCAGTAATTCTTTTGTATACTAATATTGTCATACTGCTGCCCCTTGTTTTTTGCTGCTGACGTGTACATTACAGCGTAAGTGTTTTCAAGTAACAAACGCCAAATTCTTTGAATTCCTACAGTTCTGTTAAAAATGCACAGCAGCCAGCAATCCCCACCAAGCTCAATAAAAACTAGGGGACAGCAAACCGAAGTTCTCCCCCATGATAAGAGACAATGTGGTAAAACGGTGAAGATGTCAGAATATTTTATTAAGAGTCATCCAAAATGTTACTTGGAATAAGATGCAAGGCATTTTGACTAATATTTCCATCTGCAGATAGGGAAAGTCACAATTGTTAAATACTCCCGCATATAAAAACTGCTTCATATAGTGAAATTAGTTCAGCATACAGAAAGGTTTAATTTTTTTATACCCCCCCATTCCTCCTGGTTCAAGGCAACTTACGAATCATAATCAAAACACTGATTAAAACCCCAAATACCTCCCCAACACAACTGCCCGTTGTTCAGTCCTCCACCAAAAGCCCTGGCAAACAAGCTGGCCTTGTGGCACCTCCTGAACATCTCTAGCGAGGGAGCCCCCCTCCCTCTTCAGAGAGCCCATTCCAAGATTTGCAATGGAAGAGGCACACGCTTACCAGGTGGCCGCCCTGAGAGGGGGAACCACCAGCAACGGTGGTAGCCCGAGAACTGTAGTGGGTTCACGGGAACATACGGAAGGAGGTGGTCCTTCAGCTACGTGGGCCCCAAGCCGTGAAGGGTTTTAACGGTCATAGCCAGCCCCCCCCCCCCGAATCGAACTCAGAAACAAAATGGCAGCCAACATGGCTGGTTCAAAATTGGTAATGTATTCCTGTCAGTTGGCTGTTTACAGTTCTCGGGCTGCCACATTCCAGACCAGCTGCAGTTTCTGCTTGTCTTCAAGGACAGCACCATGTAGAGTAGGTTACAGTAATCCAACTGTGAAGTCACAAAAGTGTGGAGAGGTGTGGCCAGACTGGTCAAGGGTACAAATGGAGAAAGCGGGTGAACCAGAGGCGGCTGACGGAAGGTGGTCTTGGCCACTGTGCCGGCCTGGTGTCCAAACAGCAAAGGCGGGGTCTGTGAGCACCCCGAGGCTCACGGCTTAGTCCTCGTCCAGACGTAATTATTGCCCAAGATTTTGATAAAGATGCTGCGGACCATCAGTTAGGAGGAGTAAAATCCAAAGCCTAATCAGCCCCACTTGCAAAAAATTGCCAGAGGACAGGGAAAGCACTCCTGGCAATGGTCTCAAAGCTCGGTCTTTCATTCCGCTAGCCAGCTCCACTGTCCCAAATGCTGAACAGGCTGGCAGGCTAACTCTGAGAGCAGCACCGTGCCAAACCAACGAACATGGTCCCATGCTGATAATTTCTTCAAAATGTGTTCTGTTAGACCTGGAGGCTGCTTTCTCTAGCCTCCTCAGCTATGGGCCCCCAAAGTGTCTGCAGACATCATTTAATTATACGGGAAGCTTTCTTCCCTTGCACATACAAAGAGGATTGAATGCTACTGCCTCTTCTACCCCCACCATCTCCTGCTTGCTCACCGCTAGCTTGAAAAAGCTATTTTCCTAAAAAGGGCCTTTGACATTTAAATCTGTTTGCAAAGCCAGTAATGGACTATGAAATTTACACTAGTAGTCAGCAGGAGATCTAAATCCTTTTTTTTTGGCTTTTGGTCAGCGACTCCTAGAGATTTAATCCAAGGATTACGGTTGTGCCAACTGATTCACCACAGCATGCAGTTAGGCCACCACTCACCGCAGAAAACACACTGTTCTATACAGAGCAGCTTTTAAAACCATATTTTGTTACCGGGCTGATGCACCCAGGTACAAATGCGCATTGTGTAAAAAGTGATGGGTACGTCCGTGTATTGGGCACCGTATCTAACGCAGAAGCTAGGAGCTGATGTTTTTCAAGAATTGCTCCCAAGAATTATAAAAGCAGTGGTATTCAATATGGGGTGATTCTCTCCTGGGTCACTGGCCAATTGCTGCTTGACTACATAGCATTTACTGGGATACCTCCAAAAGAATCTACCCAGACCAGTTTTTTGCTGGAAGAATCCCAGAAACTGGGATTACTGATATAACCTGCAAAGCACATGGTGTTCTTACACATGTGCAGGATCACACCACAGATAAACAATGTCCAGCCTTTTATAGGTCCCAAGAATGAACTCTTGCTTTGTAAAGTTAGCATGCCAGTAGACCATAGGAGATTCTAGGAAGAATTGCTAGTCTATACATATGTAGCTGTCTTAACACCAAGTCAGACTGGTCTTGAAAGACCAATATTGTCTACTCAAACTGTCAGCAGCTCGCCAAGACTTCACGTTTCATATCACCAGTTAACTGACAGTTTTGACTACTGGGACTGAACCAGGGATCTTCTGCATGCCAAACAGATGCTCTAACCCTGAGCCAACCACAGCCCTTCCCCAGTGAAGCCTCTGCGTTAAGACATCCTTAACTTTGTGTTACCTTGTCAACAGTGAGCAATGTCAGAGGCGCTCATCACAAAGCTGTTTTTGTGTGGCCTCAGTGAATCGATGGAAGTTTCCCATGCCACTGGGACCTACCTTTCGCTTTCGTCAAAGCATCCAGCCTCGGGGATGGTGGGCAACTCAGGAACACTGTAGTAGCTGTTTTGAAGGTTTTGGGCGGTACGTCTTGAAACAATCCAGACTAGCTTTTTATGATCTGGCTTACAGCACGCAGGAGAGGAGTAGTCGGCTAAACATTTTGAGACCAGCTCTCTCCAATAGAGCAAGTCGCTGTCGCTTATCTTGAAGAAAGAAGCAAAGAATTTTCATAGTTATGTTAGGGTTTTTTTCTAGAAAAAGAGAACGATAACAAATCTAGTACAGCGAGACTCTTATGAGCACTAATTCAGAGCCCCCATGAATACAGTGGGACTTCAAATAGACATAGGATCTCATGCTGTTGACGGACTTCAAAGAGTCCTTTCCCTTATCAACCCATGGGATAGAGAGAGCTATGAAACCCTATTAGATGAAAACAATAAATTAAAATCCAAAGAGAGTTTATTATCGTTATATAAGATTAAATTATCATGGTGCGAAATGTCACAACTTTAGTCTATACACTTGAAGGATATACGTGCAGGATTCCAAGACTCCAAAACTCAACTAGATAAGATCTGGCTGTCAAGTAGTGACAAAATGATCTAAAAAATTTATAGCTTTCTGTTACAAGAATATACTCTAGATGAGCAAGTTAGTGTTTCAACAGTGGCTTGGATGAAAGATATTGGGCATTGCATAGAAATAGATAAATGGTCCAGTACTTGGAAATCTCTTAAATACCTAAGAGCTATCACCTATAAACATTTATAAAGTAGCACACCACTGGTATTGGTCACCAGATAGGATAGCTAAATGTAATGCTGCACTACCTAATATATGTTGGAAATGTTGTTCAAACGTCGGAACTTTTTTTCACATGTGGTGGCGCTGTGTGAAAGTAACTAACTACTGGAAGATGATTCAGAAATTTTTCTCGGAAGTGATGTGTGTAACAATTGCCTTGTCCCCTGAACTAGCTTTGCTGAATATGATTTCGGAAGGTTACAATCAAAAAGATAAATTTTTGATACTATTTATATTGACTACAGCTAGAATACTACTAGCTAAATACTGGAAATACAGGAGTCCCTTCCCTCAAGAAAGGAATTAGTGTATAAATTATTAGAGACAGCGGAACTTGATAAATTAAGCATCATGCTTCAAGGAAAAGATGGGGAACAAATTGTTGAAAGGTGGAAGCGTTTATATATATGGATAAATAATCGGTAGATGTAATAGATTCAAAAGGATATAGATTTGTCTGTATATACTTTGTATGTATTTAGAAAACCGAAAATAAAATGGGGGGGGGGGAGCCACACTCACCACACTTGCCTGAGGCAAATATACAAATTCCAAAAGAATTTACATCACATAAATTTGTCAAGGACTACAGTCCAGCTCATATGCTGAACAGGTAAGTATAGCTTCAGGCAGCCTTACAAGCCCTGACTTGGATGGCCAAGACTAGGTCGCTCCTGTCAAGAAGACCCCAGAAGCTAAGCGAGGTCAGCCCGTTAGTACTCAGAAGGGAGACCACCAAGGAAGTCTAGGGTCACTATGAAGAGGCAGGCAATGGCAAACCACCTCTGAACGTCTCTTGCCTTGAAAACCCTACGGGGGGGGGGGGGGCCGCCGTAAGTCAGCTGTCACTTGACAGTGCTTTCCACCACCCACGGCCTTGACAAACATTCCGGAATGTCACCTGTGCTCAATGATCTTGCTGCTGATTATCTGCTGGTTCTCACACATGCCAGTGTTCACGATGAGATACGTGTTCTCACTGCCTAAGTCACAGCACATCGACTGCTGAGCTAGTAAAGATCTTTCAAAAGCCTTCCACAACTATCTACAGCTAATACTTGATTTTTGTAGGGGAGTATTTGCATTGAGAAGGGAGTATTTTCAAAAGATACTCACCAAGTGTGGATTTTTATGTGTTTGGTGTAGTGGTTAAGTGCGCGGACTCTAATCTGGGAGAACCGGGTTTGATTCCCCACTCCTTCACTTGCACCTGGCTGGATGACCTTGGGCAAGCCGTAGTTCTGTCAGAGCTGTTCTTGAAAAAGAGCAGTTTCTGTCAAGAGCTCTCTCAGCCCCACCTACCTTCACAGGGTGTCTGTTGTGGGGAGGGGAAGGGAAAGGAGTTTATAAGCCACTCTGAGAAACCTTTGGGTAGTGAAGGGCACGGTATAAATCCAATCTTACTTATATCCCTCTTTTTTCCCCAGTGGGGACTCAAAGTAGCTTTAAAACATCATTCCCCCCTCCATTTCCCCACAACAACCCAGTAAGGTAGACCAGACTGAGAGTTTGTGGCAGGCCCAAGGTCACCCAGCCGGGTTCCACCGTAGAAGCAGGATCTCGAACCCAGATCGCCCGGAGTCTGCATCTGCCGCTCTGTCCACTATACCAGCAGTGGCTCTTAACTTATCTCTAACATGGCTGACGGCACAGCCTCCGCGATCAGATCTATGTCGCTACAGATACGAGTTGCTCAGAAGCAGTAACCAGAATGCATCTGGCTGCCTGAGGCCTCCTCACTGCAGCTTCCCTCTCATCTTCACAATCCCCACATGACACTCAACGGGGTGAGAAGACTTCTTTCATTTCACCTTCCAGAGAGCCGCTATCGCATTTTTTAAAAGCTTCTAATGCTTGCCTTCTGGCCTTAAGATGCCTGCCTTTCAACTGTACATGTGGAAGATTCCCTTCAAGAGCCTCTTCATAGCTTTCAAAGGAGCATTTCATTACACCAAGAGGATTCCAGCCCCCCCCCCCTTTTTACCTTTGAATGCTTCTGAACATGCATGACGATCTCAAACAATTCAATGGATTTCAAAGTCTGGACTTCCAGAGTGAGAAGGCACAAGGCCAAGATGGATGGCTGAAAACACACAAAACACACACTTAGTTCAGTAACTCATGACTCTACCGTGACTCTTAACTGAACATCCATCACACGTTTGCTTACTTTTGCTTTTGAAAAAACTAGTCGGCAGTTACAAGCTTTGAGTTGTGCTTCCAGTTTGTCAAGATTCAGCAATTCTTTCCTATAAGGAACAAGATGGGGGGAAAATTGAGTTGGACAAAGAAACCTGCATACATAACAAGAGGTAGCCTGTTTTGCATGAACACACAACATGTCAACCAGGACTGGAGTATCTAAAACTAGTACAGACAGTTCAGGAAGCCTAAACAAAGATGGCACAGGGAAGACACAAGCAGCTACCAGGGAGGATGGTAAATAAAGAATGGGTAAATAAAAAGATCCGACACTTACCTTTCTGAGGTATGACAGAGTACAATAGTATGGTACAAGTGCAAAAAGGTTAAGGCAGTAGTAGCTTTGAAGTCAAAGTGTAGTTTTTCCGAGATTATTTTCTCCATCCGCTTCAGGTCGGACACGGTACATTTGCATTGGCTAATGCGGATGACATCATGGAGGGAGGGAATGTTGCATTCCTCTTCGACTACTCGAGCGGCCAGCTGGAAACAACAGACTCCAATGCACGACAAATGCTTTGGTTTCACCTGGGGGGGAGGGAAAGAACCCTGAGGAACAACTACAACAGTGGCAGGCGATAATACGTAATGGATGACACATGTTACATTCAAGGCCTCTCTGTTCATCCAACGTTCCATGGGTTATGTTGAAATTCGGTTTTGACAGTGACTAGGACAAAACCCTTACATCAGACAGCTAAGACTCAACTGCAACACTAAAACAGACTGCAGCTAACTCAGTCCATAACCAATGCTCCCTCTAAGCTGTGGAGTCTTGTGAGCAAAAATTCTACTTTGTGAGCTACTGGCATTAAAGTTGTGAGCAAGCGATTTGGCTACTGCATAAATTACTTTGCCCTGGAGCCATCCTTCCTGAGCTAAGACAAAAAATGTGTGAGCCGGAGGCTAAAAAACTGTGAGCTAGCTCACACTAACTCATCTTAGAGGGAACACTCGTGCACACCAACGTTTAACAAGAAGGGATGGTCCGAAAGCGAACTCCCTAATTCTGAACACAATTAATCGTGGCATGGGTCTGCATGACCAGAAATCAATGATCTTATTGCCTTTAGACTGTAAAACTGGTGTCAAAATCGCTAAGAGACCATACTCGAGACCAAGGATCCCCAATGTTGTGCCCGTGGAGGCCATGACACCCACGGGGTACCTTTCCTGGTGTCCATCAAGTGTTTTTAGAAAGTGGGCGGGGCTAGGTGGGGGTTTTCCCCCAGCAGGCTTACAACCAGCTGTGTGGATTACAAGGTGTCCTGTTAAACAGAGCTTTGGCCCACACTGTTGAAGAGGTTCGATATGAATGATATATCACCTCGTTTCCTGACATTCTGAGGCTGGGTCCACCTCCTGCGGTGGCCATTTTGTGATTATGCCCGGCAAGAGCCTGTATTAGAATTCCAAAGGTACCCAGAGGCTCAAAAAGGCTCGAGACAATCTGGACACCATCGGATAACAACAGTTCATCCCACTTTTAGATACCTTCATGAGTGCCAAAAATCTGTCCAGGATGTTGACAGCCAGGACAAAGGTCTCCATGGCAAACCCAAAGAAGTTGGTCAGGCTCCAGAGATCCTCGACTTTTGCGTTCCTCTGTCTTGGACATAAAGTGTTCTCATTCTGTAGCGAGACAAACATTAAGTTCATCAGAAGGACAGAAAGAGCCCCTTCCCTTCCTTCAAGAGCAGAAGAGCATGGACCACCACCACCCCAGACATTGCACTCAACCTCAGAAGCACGTTGGAAGGGGCAGAAGACTTTGGTCAACACGTCTGAGCGAGCTCCCGCCTGCCCCCAGGCTTGGAGAAGAAGGCAGGGGCTTTCCCTGATCGCCTACAGCCACAAAGTCCCCGTGAATGCAGACAGAAGCCTGGCTGCTTTCAGCACGGATGTAAAGTCAGTGCAAACATCAGGAGCAAGCCCACATCCCTCTCCTTGTCAGGGGAGGGACAGAGGCAGTCAAAGTCAAGGCAAGCCAACGTTTTTGAATGCCTGCCTATACGTTCTAACATAGGGGTGATGACAAGCTTCTTTAAGAGGGGGAATGGTGGTGAGATCAGGAACACACACTCCAGCCAAGCTGCCCGGGGGCAAGAATTATTCCCATCCTGTCCCGATACCACCTAAGCGGGAAGCCTAGAGAGAGTTCAGCCCCAGATGGAAGAACCCAGGAGACACTGCCCCTACTGGCCAATGAGGTCACTGCTTTGTTTAGGGACCATTCTATTGAAGGACATTTGGCAGAACAATCATAGGAAGGCAATTTCTGGACCAGAAATGTATACCAGAAAAACACCACTTGGCATGTGATTACACTGTTGGAGGCCTCATTTGTACTTTTATTCTGCGCCCAGTGGCCTCATTGTGGAACAACTTTTTTCTGGTCCCTATTGATTTTATATCTTGTATCTGCATGATTGTATTGTATTTGTATATTAGCCAATATGTTCCTCAGTATATTTGACCTCTAAAGGCGGCCTACGCAGGCCGAAACACGTCAGGTCAAATCTACCAGCCCTTGTGTTATAATTTGTTATTTGTACATGAGGTGTAATTGGGCCCTTATATATAATTTAAAAATCTTTGTTTAATAAATACATGTATCTTTTTATATATTTCATATATTAAGCTTTTACTGTTGGCCCTCTTTTGCATGATTCGACTAACCTTTTTTAGGTTCTGGATTCTAGGTTTTAGGTTCAGTTTCCCCCCCTCCCCCTTTTTTTGTCCCAATGAGGTCACTGCACAGTAAAGCCGTCAGGGCCAGGCTAAAGAACACACAAGGCAGATGCCTGGCCGGCTCCCTTCTTACGGGGAAAGGAGAGGCTGCCCTCCTTCACTTCCTTCATCTTTCCAACAGGCACTTGCGGAAGAAAGCACACATCGCTTACACCACCTGTGGCCTGGCCGCTGCCAGTTCCTGCCTAAAATCACATGCGGAAGCGGTGCTGAGAAGCCGCGTGGCTTTGGTTTTCCAAGCCCCCACGGTCACACAGGCCAAACTACATTCTTCATATTTCTTCTTTAATTTTTTAAGGACCAGCATATCACTCAATTTGGGTTCTCAAGAGTGCAGTGCCATGGGCTGGACTCTACAAGGGAACTGTCACTAGGAGTGAGAGATTGTTCCGACAGGAACACGTGCCTGTATCTGCGATGATATCATTTTGCTTCTCTTACCAGATACTGACAACTGAATCCTCTGCTTCATTGATTTGAACAGGGCAGTTACCCACATACTAAGAGCTCCCTAATTAAGATCAACGAGGTTTACCGGAGCTTAATTGGGGCCTGATTGCATCCAGCCTTGAAAGAGCCAGTAGGGGCTGAAAGCGAGACGTTCTCCACACAAAACGAAGGCAACACGGAGAGAAAGCTGTGCTTTTGACCAGTCCCTTGGAAGATCCATCCCCATCCCCAGACGCAAGCCGCCCTCCTCACCTCCGCAGTGCACTCAATCAGGCTCAAGCCCTTCTCCTGGGGCTGGTATTTCCATTCTTGCTCCAAGTGAAGCTTCAGCTGCTTGAAGAGCCAAGTGCCCATCTCTTCGCCGGCTCCGGTATCCTTCATCTGAGAAGAGGAGAAAATGTGTTCTTATTCTCAGATGGAGAATTAAAAAATCCAAAAATGGTACATTTGTCTATAGCTACAAAGTATACGTAATCAACATTCATCTAAACCCCAAAGACAATGGTTAATTCCAATCTGCCTTCACTTGCAAGATCTAAAAAGCTAAGAATCCTAAGGGGGGGGGGACCTTAACTATGTATTTTTAACTGCTCCATCTGTCTAATCTTTTTACAGTGGATGTCAAAAGCATCAGAGTGAGAGAGAAGAGAGATGTGATGTTGCGCTGGTTCACACTGAAAACAATGGAACTCCGCCCCCTCTTCCACAGGGCGCATTTGACAGAGAGGCTGCAGAGGGGAGGAGGGGAAGTTGTCACCTACGCACAGTGGCAGCAATTTCCATATACGACCAAACGAGGGAGGGGGGAGGAAAGAGAGAAGCAGGCTTCCAGAGACACAAGCAATTAGTTCCAGCATATTCACAATCAAGTTGCAGCCTTGTGTGCGCTTAAAGACCCGCTGAAATCAAGGGAGCTACATTCTGAGGAAACCTTAGCCTCTGACGGTCCATTCTGGAAGACAACACTGATGCCCTCCAGGGGCTGCTCATGGCTTTTTGATCTTGCACTCTTGCAGATCCATGGGGTCGCGAAGAGTCGGACTCGACTGTGCGACAGAACAACAACAACAACAACAACTCTTGCTACCAGATTTCAGGGGTTATCCCCAAAGTTTTAGTGCATTCCCAACACAATGGGAGCTTGGCTCGATCCCGCTACCCTTGCCTCACTGCTAGTTTATGGACACTTGTACACAGGGTACAGCCCCGACTGTTCAGCAAATGGGGGTGGTCTTTGTTCACTCTCTCAATACCACGTACATACACACAGTCCAGAGAAGTTGAAGGGGCAGTAGATTAAATACTTATCCCCAGGTACGTTCTCATCTGTATTGGCCCTCAGAGTCAAGCTCCTCGGGACCAGAGCTTGAGGCCAGATATAATAAGCCTTTGGTACATAAGTGAAAACGATTAATGCAAACAGTGCAGACTCCTAGCTTACCATGACGACACCCACATATACAGGAGACAATTAATGCCGGTACAAGTCAAGTTCTTCTGAATAGTTCCTGAATCCCCCACACACACCCCTCAGGCAGACATCTACCTTCCCTCCTGAAGAATCTCTTTCGCTTCACTTGAAAGCAGCACTGATCTGCTTTGTCTGCCACCTCTGCCCCCTGGAGCAGCAGCGACTGTTTTTAATGTTGCTTTCACAACAGATCACTAACATCGCTACCCGTCCAGAATTTGCTAATTCCTGGAGGGTTTTTTTCCTACTGACTTCTCAGGCAATTCAATTCTGCCTGCCCAAGGAACACCATAACCAATGTTCATTACAAATGCCTTCCCCAGCTTTCCTTGCTACTCTTCTCCAGAATGTAGGCCTCCCCCTACCCAAGACACCCTCAGGAAAGAACTTCTACCCTCATTATGTTACCTATGTTACCTACCCTCACCAATCTGAACTTCCAGAGTGTCTTCTGTTCACCCTTCCTGGGTGCCTAGATAGTGATCTTGAAAAACTGTTTGATCATGCTCTACGGGCGTGCACACCCTGCCCCCTTCCATAAAAGACTCAATCCTGATCAACACGCACTCACCATTCCAAGGCATGCCATCAGCCCCTCCTTGCTCAATAAATAACACCACCACCACCACCTCAAAACATTTCCAGCCTCTGACCATCACAAAAACCCTCATCTCATTGGCCCGCTCCTGCATTTCAGGCAAGAGTCCCCCACCACCACCTTTGGCCAAGCTTACCCTCCAGATAAGATCTTCCCAGTCTCTAAAGAACACAAAGGTGGCATTACCCTGACGCAGCCAAAGCAAAACAGAAGTACAGAGGCATCTGAAAGACTGGTGACATTTATTTCAAGGGCTTTCATGAGTAGCTTTGACCGAAACATACACAATAGGAACATCGCAGAGAAAACTCCAAGGCTTGGTATCAATTAAACCATGAGCCTTTCAAGTGTAAGTCTCAGGAGGGGGTGAGAGAGAAGCTAATGTAGAAAGGGGCTGTAAAGACAAGTATCAGTTGGGAAGGAAGCTCACAGAGCACTGTGTCTAAAGAAGGGTGTTAATCACCCAAACTGGGAGCCAGCGGCACCTTTAAGACCCACAAAGTTTCATTCTGGGTATAAGCTTTTGTGTGCAGGCACACTTCATCAGAGCCAGGAAGTCCTTCAACCACCCCTCCCCCAAGTCTCAATAAGAGGCCCCAAGATTTCATGCCACCATCAGCTTTCATAGGTTTACGCTGGGGAAAAGAAAATCTTGCTCGTTTTCTAAGGCACCGCACGATTCTGTTCCAGCATCAACATTCATAGGTTTATGCTGGGAAAAGAAAGGTGCCGCAAGCCTCCTCTTCTGAATGACTTCTGCGTAACAGCCTCACTCAGCTTCCCCTAGGGGGAAATCAAATGCTCATCTGGGCCCTGCTGCTTTCCTTTGTCATAAGGGCACAAGATGTGCCCTGGCTGGATCAGACCAGTGGTCCATCTAGGCCAGCCTCCCATCTCATACTGGTTCCTCTGGAGGTCCAACGGGGCATATAGGCCGAGGCCTTCCCCTGATATTGCCTCCTGGTTCTGGGGTTCACAGGTTTGCAGCATCTGACAACTCACCACGGCTAGTAGTCGCCAGATAGCCATGTCTCTTTTGTTTTTACCACCAAGTCACAGCCTGTAGGGTTTTCAAAGCAAGAGACTTTCAGCCCTGATTTGCCGTTGCCTGACTCTGTGCAGGGGACTGCCTTGATGGTCTCCCATCCAAGTCCTAACCAGGGCTGACCCTGCCTGGTTTCCAAGATCTGTCCAAACAGGGCTAGCCTGGGCCATCCAGGTCAAGGCAAAAGAGGAACAGAGGTGGTTTTGCCATGGCCTGCCTCTGCGTAGCAACCTGAGATGTCCTCAGTGGCCTCCCATCCAAGTACTCACCGGGGCGACCCTGCTTAGCTTCCAAGATCTGATGAGGCGGGGCTACCCTGGGCCATCCAGGTCAGGGCAGTTTTTACCTAAACCAGCCAAAATAAAACCACACAACCCGCTTGGTTCTCGAGACCTGTCCAGGTTGGACTAGCCTGGGCCATCCACGTCAGAGCACAAACCCGCCTAACCCCCTTTTAAAGCCATTTGGGGAGCTTCAAACGGGACGCCCTTATTGCTGCCATTCAGCGGACCAGCCAGATGTGGTTTTTTTATTATTCCCAGCCTCCACTTTCCAAAGACCAGCTATCTCGAGGTGCGCCCCCCCCCAAAAAATAGAAAGAACATCTCCCCTCCCCATCCGCCCACTCAGACTTTTGGGAGACGGTGGGAATGAGGGTTGCCAGCCTCCAGGCGGAGCCTGGAGATCCCCCGCTCTCACAACTGATCTTCAGATGACAGACATTGGAGGAGGGATTGGATTTATACCCTGCCCTTCCCTCGGAGTCTCAGAGCGGCTTACAATCTCCTTTCTCTTCCCCACAACAGAGGTAGGTGTGGCTGAGAGAGCTCTCCCGAGAACTGCTCCTGAGAGAACAGCTCTTATCAGAACTATGGCTTGCCCAAGGTCACCCAGCAGCTGCAAGTGGAGGCGTGAGGGAACCGAACCCGGTTCTCCCAGATTAGAGTCCACACACTTAAAACTTAATGGCTGCTTTGGAGGGTGGACTCTGGCACGGTGCCACGCTGAGGCCCCTCCCTGACCCCGCCCCCTCCCGGCTCCACCCCCAAAGTCTCCAGGTATTTCCCGACCCAGATCTGGCAACCTTAAGGGGAAGAAAGCCCGGCTCTCCCCGTCTTCTCTTTCCCCAGCGCCCGCCCCGCAAAGCCGTCCCCCGTCCCCCCCACTCACTTCAGCGGCGCCGCCTCGCCTTCCCGCGGAGAGGACGGAGGAGGAAGGTCGGGGGCTGAAGAAGCGGCAACGGCGGCGGCAATAACAGCGACGACGCCCGACAGCTGCGGACCTTCCCCTCCCCGCATCCAGCCGCCGCGGCGCCTTCGCTCCCCCCTGCCCCTTCTTCTTCTCCTCCAGGCCCCCGATCCTCCCTCGCCCGCCCGCCCCCGGAGTCAGCGCAAGACCAGCGGCAGCACCATCTCCGTGCCCAGCTCCGGACGCCTCCTCCGCGGGGCAGCCGAGCCAGAAGCGCCTCAGCGGTCCCTCAAAATGGAGTCGGGCCCGACCGAGAGCTAACGGCCACCCCCCCTCCGCCTCCTCGGCCCCGCCCCCCTCAGTCACGTGATCCTCCCACGACGGCTCCGCCTGTTGCTTTTGTTTTTCCTTCCCGCGCGGAAGGACACTCGAGGCGAATCCGTCAGGGATTATTTTTTTTGGGGGGTACGATACATTTCATTGAATTTCTAGTTAAAAAAAACAAAACATTAACAGTAGATGCATATGAAACTCGCAGAAAGGTTATAGTGTGACATAGATACAGTAGCAAATACTTCAGATGCAGTGATTTGTACTGACAATAGTGGAAAAAAGCAAGCGTTATATGGTACCTTCCATAGACAGGACGTAAAGTTAACATATATAAGCGAGCATTGGTGGACAGGGATTTTTTTTTATAGAGCTTGCCTTTTTTCTTCCTTTACAAGGAACAGGGAAGTCCCACCGCTGAGTAGAGCAAGGGTTAGTTTCTCAACAGGAGTGTGGCTTCCTGAGCCACCTTCATCCTGAGGGTTTTTCCCCCCCTCTCTTTGCTTTGAGGCGACAGAAAGGCGGAAGGAGACGGAGGTCGAATCACTCGTTTAAAGGGACAAGGGGAGGGGCGGAGGCAATTATGTTTTGAAAAGTCCGCCCAAATGTTCAGGAAGCTGATTGGTCCGGTGCGGCGCGAGCGCTCATTGGACAGGGGCAGCGGCCTGGCCCGACCTTCCCGGATGTTTTCGCGGCTGGAAGGGTTGTGTGTGTTGTTGAGACGGCTGGTGATGGGGGGGGTGGCAGAGCTCGCAACTGACCAATAGGAAGAGTCCTTTATGCTTCCTCCCCCCCTCCCCCTCCCGTTACCCGCGGTTGGGTTTTGAAGCGATGGGGGGGGGGTGGCCAACGGTCAAAACTGTCATTTACCTGGCATGAGGCGAAGATGGATAGGCAGAGCTTTGTCCTGAGCTGTGCAAAGTGCGGGACCAAAGTCTCTTGAGGCCCTTTTGGAAGTTTATTTATTTATTGCATTCCCCCCACCCCTCAGGACTGCTTACACAGGGGCACAAGCCCATACATAAAAACAATGTAAAGCAGTAAAAACTATTAAATCATGACAAAACAAATATAAAATGCTCGATACAAACAAGATGGTCTCTGAAGATGGTATGGATCATTTCCTTAGGGTGAAATTGTCCTGTCGATGGTCCAAGCCAGTCCAGCAGCATCAGTGCCATGCAAATTTATGGCAGTTCTTCCGGACCGCTCCCAACCTCTGTTTCAGTGGTGGTAGTAGTAGAAGTGGCCCCTATATAAAAGCCTGGCGGAAGAGCTCCATCTTTCAGGCCCTGCGGAACTGCATAAGGTCCCGCAGGGCCCTGATCTCCTCCAGGAGCTCGTTCCACCAGGTGGGGGCCGCCACTGAGAAGGATCTAGCCCTGGTTGCAGCAAGCTTTGCCTCCCTGGGGCCTGGAATCGCCAGGCGGTGTTGTGTCCCCGACCGAAGTGCTCTTGGGGGTATATGTGGGGAAAGGCAGTCCCTCAGGTGGGTAGTTCCGCTGACAGTTCTGTGGTTGGGGGCCTAAACTCACCCCAACGCTGAGTTTCCTCTTGCAGAACAAAGTTTGGGTCCAGTGGCACCTTTAAGACCAACAAAACTTAATTCTGGGTATAAGCTTTCCTTTGCATGCACGCTTCTTCAGATACTGGTGCCTTCAACTCCAACAATGTTTAATTCTGGGTGTAAGGTTTCCTGTGCATACATACTTCGTCAGATCCTGACTGCTGACAGTTATGTGGTTGGGGCCTAAATTTAGCCCAATGCTAAGTTTCCTCTTGTAGAACAAAGTTTCAGTCCAGTGGCATCTTTAAGACCAACAAAATGTAATTCTGGGTATGAGCTTGCATGTGCATGCACGCTTCTTCAGATACTGGCACTTTTAAAGTCCAAGGAAGTTTAATTCTGGGTATAAGCTTTTGTGTGCATGCACACCTCTTCAGATACTGGCACCTTTCAGACCAACAAAGGTTAATTCTGGGTGTAAGCTTTTGTTTGCATGCACACTTCCTCAGATACCTCTTACAGTTTTGCAAAGTATGTCTCCGCCATGGTGCTTGTGACTTTAACAGCTGTATGGCAGGCAGTTACTCGATGGAGGCACATCCTCCTGTTACCACATCACCTGCTGAGTGTCTGTCTGACATGCAGGTCATACTGTGCCTTCTATGATAATCGCAGAGAGATAGCCATGTTAGTCTGTTTGTAGCAAAACAAAAGTCCAGTGGCATCTGATGAACCACAGTTATTTCAAAATAATATTTTGTGAGAGAGCACACCTCCCCCTTAAGAGGAAGTCACTTGGGAAACTCTTATAGGGAAAATCCCCCATTCTGTAATTTTCACTGTAAGAATTCTCCAAATGATTTCCTCTTCACATAAGAACGTAAGAAGACCCCTGCTAGATCAGACCAGTGGTCCCAGCTAGTCTAGCAGCCTGTCTCACACAGCTGCCAACCAGTTATTCGAGAGAGCCAACAACAGGGCATAGAGGCCAAGACCTTCCCCTGCTGTTGTTTCCTGACACAGGTACTCACAGGTTTACTGCCCCTGAAAATGGAGGTTCCCTCTAGACACTATGGCTAGCAGCCACTGATAGACCTATCCTCCTGTAAGCCTGTGGCCATCATTACATCCTCAGGTAACAAATTCCTCATTTTAATTGTTATGTAAAGAAATATTTCTCTTTGTCTGTCCTGAATCTACTGCCTATCAGCTTATTTGGATGCCCTCAAGTTCTAGTAATTTGGGAGAGGGAGAAACATTTCTGTTTGTCAACTCTCTCCACACAGTGTATAATTTTATAAACCTCTATCACGTCTCCCCTTTTCTAAACTGAAAAGTCCCAGACTCTTCAGCCTTTCCCCATAGGAAAAGTGCTCTAACCCCCTAATAATCTCGGTTTCTCTCTTCTGTACATTTTTCAACTCTGCTGTGTCCTTTTTAAGATATGATGACCAGTTCTGACATAGTTTTCCAAATGAGGCCACATCATAGATCTACACAGAGGCATTACAATATGGGCGGTTTATTTTCAATCCCCTCCCTAATAATTAGAGTTGCCGATCTCCATGTGGCCGAATCTGTTGAGTGTGAGCAATATAAGAAGAGAGTTTTCTATGGAATTATTATAGTAAACAATTTTGCATATCATCTTTATTGACTTTTCATTATTTTTGTCATAGATGTTTTGTTTGGATTTCTATCTCCATGTGGTGGAGATTACAACTGATCTCCAGGTGACCGAGATCAGTTTTCCTGGAGAAAATGGCTGATTTGGAAGGTGAACTTTATGGCATTATACCCTACTGAAGTCCCTCCCCTTCCCAAACCCCACCCTCTCCAAACCCCACCCCTCAAATATCCTGGTATTTCCCAACCGGAAGCTGACAACCCTACTAATAACACCCCACATACAGTTTGCCCTTTTCATCATATCTGAAGAAGTGATCCCTGACTCACAAAAGCTCATATGAAATAAACATTAATCCATAAGATGCTACTGGACTTTTATTTTGTTTAGCTAATAACAATGTACCCATTTAAAATATAGTCAATGGGGGAGGGGACTTTTCCAGGCTGCTTTCAACACCCATTGAAACAATAAATCAACTTAAACTAAAACTTAGCTGCATGCAGTGCAAACAAAAAAGAATCATGAATAAGGCTGCACTGAAAAGAGGGGACACCGTAGCTATGGATTTTGGGGGGAGGGGGCTTCGGGGGGGTCAGCTAATTAAATCAAAGTTAATGAAATGAGTTCAATGTGGGCCCAGTCTGGGAGGGAGGGGCCCCAGAAGAAACACTAGGGGGCCAGGCCCCATGGGCCCCATGTTAGCTATGGGCCTGGACACTGGTGCTAATAATGATGGCAGCATAAGTATTGCAAGTGCAAAAACACCAACCAAGATAGAAGCGAAACCAGGGGTTATAATTAATTAGTATACTTTAAAAGCAGATAGAAATATAAATAAGATGGATCAGCTGCAGGGAGGGTAAATACTTAAAACCAGGGGTCATTTCCTGCAGGAGCGCACAGGAGCGGAGCTCTGGCAGTAAAGAGCCCAGGGGGCGGGCACATGCAACAAGCCCCACCCCCTTCTCCCAGCAGCCCTCAGTCAGAGAAAGAAGCAGCCAGGTAAGTTGCAGAGTTCCCCCCCCCCCCGGTCCAAAACAGTCCAGTGGCACCTTTAAGACCAAGTTTTATTCAGGTACAAGCTTTCCCTCCTCTGCGAGGGCAGATCTGCATGTCCCCCCCCCAATAGCTAGCAACCCAAAACAATCCAGTGGAGCCTGAGCGGTGGGTGTTGCCTTCCGACACACGTCCGGTGATGTCAGGGGATGTGGCATATGCAAATGAGTTATGCTAATGAGTTCCTGCACCTCTTTTTCTATGAAATGGCCCCTGCTTAAAACCTTAAGAAATTTAAAATGGCTTTGTCTGATCCCTACAGGGTTTGTCCATTTGGATCCTGGTGAGCTTCTGTCAGGAGGAAGTTCCAAAACTGGGGCTGCAAGAGGGAACTGCCTGACCCTGCTGCTTGCCCAACTTGTTTTTAAGGAATCTGGAAACAGATCAGCAAGGTCCATTAAGGTCAGCACATTGCTGTGAGAACAGGCAGTACTTCAAATCCCCCGATCCCAGATGTTGAAAGTGTTGAAACAGCCCCAATCCCACTTCCATTCTCACAGTGTGAGTTCGCATGTCCAGGCTAGTCAGCCCAGGTGTCGACTGAGATTCAACACCTGGGCTGACTAGCCTGGACTTGCTATGGTGGGTAAATCGTTCCCTATTGATTAGAGTGGGAAATATTCAGGAAGCTAATTGTCATGTGAACAGTGGTTTATGAAGCAACTCCTCTCCCACTGATTCTCTGCAAGAGTATTTAGGATTTTTTATATAAAAATAGTGAGGCCCTGTCCAAGCTTGGAGAAAAATATCTAGTAAGTGATGGGTTTTT